ATGTTGAATAATAATCAGTGTGTGACAGCAGCACTAGATATAATGTGTGTGTTGTGTTCAGATCTTCAGGTGGAGTCTCCTGAGAGAGTGACAGAGGGAGATTCAGTCAGTCTGACATGTAAAAGCAGTTGCGCTCTGACTGACAGAGCAACATTCATCTGGTACAGAAACTCACTGAAGATATTAAATGAAAGTAAATTCAGGAACACACTCATCCTCAATCCAGTCAGAAGAGAGGATTCAGGCAGATATAGCTGTGCTGTAGACGGACACAAACCCGTGTCTCTTGATGTTCACCTCAATGTCAGGAGTGAGTGCAGATTCATGAGTTCTTTTTTAAATCAGGAGATTGCGTATGAATTAGTTGATTTAAGGTTGTTTTCCTTTTTAGATCCTCCAAAGAGCGTCTCGGTGTCCATCAGTCCATCTGGTGTAATAGTGGAGGGAGATTCAGTGACTCTGAACTGCATCAGTGACTCAAACCCTCCTGCTGTGAACTTCAGCTGGTTTAAAGGAGGAAAGTTTGTAGGATCTGGAAGAATCTTCAGCATCTCAAAGATCAGATCTGATGACAGTGGAGAATACAAGTGCAAGTCCATCAATGAACATGGAGAGAAATACTCTGATACTGTGACTTTAAATGTCATATGTGAGTTAATGATGGTTCAGTAACTGTCGTGACAAAACGAATGAGTGGATTAACATTTGCAAAACATTAATGTAGAGTTTATTTTTGTCTATTTTAGACCCTCCCAGGAACGTCTCAGTGTCCATCATTCAGTCTGGTCAGATCTGGGCAGGAGATTCAGTGACTCTGAAGTGCATCAGTGACTCAAACCCTCCTGCTGTGAACTTCAGCTGGTTTAAGGAGAATGAAAGCTCAGCTGTTGGATCTGGACAGAGTTTCAGTGCACTACAGAGTGGACGCTTCTACTGTCAGGCTCACAATCAACATGGATCTCAGAGATCAGACGCTGTAACTGTCACTGTTAAAGGTAGAGCAGCTCGTATACTTACATTACTCTTTCTAAAGTGAAGCAAAAATTATGTTTTATACATTTTGTGCTAGTTTTAGGAAGTCTGCTGATATTATACACATCCATTGGAGTGATTTGTGGAGCTGCAGTGATCATCATGATGCTGATTTGGTAAGATGTGTGTCTTTGATCTTATGTGTGTGAATGAGACAGAAGGATGAGATGCTTGATATCTGTCTCAAACTGCTCCGAGACACGAAGGTTGAGGATCTAAATGCAGTATTTATTGAATAGGGTAATCCAAAGACGTAATCCGGATAACTGGCAAGGGGTCATACGCAATCAAACAATCCAAACAATAATAGATCAGGGCTGAGGTAAAGTGAGAAATCCAAGGGAACAGGCAGAGGATCAAGAGAACTAGGACACGGGAGAAACAGGAAACAGTGAGACAACATACAAGACTTCACCGGGAATTAGGGGGTGCATGAATGTTCAATCTGTAATTATTTTTCGAAAAATAAAGTACTATTATAATTTTACTATGTTGCTTTGCTGGCCGTAAATCCAGTGAATCCATGATAAATCACAAGCACTAACTCGCAGTTCTGATTAAATGCACTGGGTGGCGCTGTGGAGCGTGTTAATAAGTTGTTTGGATTTTATCACATAATGTTGTCATCTGCCTCGCGCCACATCTCTACACATCATTTCTGCTCACTATCCCCATCCACTACACCCAAGATCCAGTTTCCATTAGCCGAACTTTCAAATGCATTGGAAAACACTACGTCACGAGCATAACTCATCAAGGGAATAAATTCTGAGTTAAATGTACCTTAAGGATTTTAGCAGCATGGTCATTTTAAGACATAGCATTTTTAGACTTTTCAATGAAAAAGACGAAGAAAAAAAATTCCAAAAATATTTTATATAGGCATACACATACATCAATAATTAACATACTAATCTCAGCAATGGTGACAAAGAGATCCCCTCTGAACATAAGTTCATTATTTATTCATGCTGCAATGCATGAGGGGAGCCATGAATGAGTTTTGATTGGTGGCACCCAGAATGCAATGCAACATTCTTTATTATTGTCACCATTGTTGAGATTCACAGGCTAATAATTTGATGTCTGTACAAGGTCACTGCCTCTATAATTAATAAAGTAAACCTAACTCAGAAATTAGGCTCTATATGAATTCAGTGATTCAGGTCAAATGATTGTGAATTAATGATTATGTTAAAACACAGCCATCACCATCAGATCACCTTTTCTATTTGTTCATCTGGCTGTAATAACTCAAGTACTGCAGCCAAACAAAATCTAAAGTTAATGAATTGAGGGTCAAGAGTTTGTACTTTGTATTAAACATCAAATACATTCTGATTGGTTGTAATTGTTTCAAATCTTTATCTTTAAAGGGGCAGCAGGTGGATGAAAAAGAGAAATGACACACAGGTGAGAAAAATAGTCAGATGTTTTCAGTTGATATGGTATCTAAATGAATTGGTATCTAAAAGATTGAAAGTCTGAATTTAGCGGTAACTTTATCTAGTGAGTTCTTTATAGACATTATTTATTTTCTCTCTATTCTGATTTTTCTTTCATGGCAAAGATGAATCATCCCCAACCTGATCATGAGAGACGCAACGATTATGATGTTGAACTGAGTGATCCTGTGTATGAGAATGTAACGGTAAGTTTTTCCTACAAAAGACTAAACTCTCTTCACCTTCAGCCAAAATAGATTAAACGCTCAATATCAGTGTGAAAATATCTATATTGAGTAATAAGTAAATGGGAACTGAAATAACACACTCCTGTTTTTACTTTGTCTTCATTCATAAAGGCTGTTCGACTTGATGATTGTGAACCCGAACTGGATTCGTCTCTGTATGAAAATCTTCCAGTAAGTAAAAATAAGAACCCAATCTATTTGCCTTTCCTCTTGACAAATGTTGTTGATGCTTTTCTTTAAATATTTCATTATTAATGTTTTCACTTTCTTTTTTATTCTTCCTAAAAAGAAGAGGCTGTAGTGTATTGGACAGTAAACAGCCTTCATGAATCTCTTTGTGGGAGGAGCCTTGAATGATTGACAGGTGTGCCATGATGACGTGTGACTGAAGTTATTAAGGGATCATTTTATAGATGGATGTGTGATAATTAAAGTAGACGGTTAATCCATTTATGTAAAACTGTAAATCACTAGGATGTGTGTTTCTCTTTATGCTTTTTTATCATGTATGAATCTTACTTCATTGAGATTATTAATGTTTTTGACCGTGAGTAGCGGTATTGTTCATGTTTCCAATAAAAGGCAGAAAAAAATAAGGCTCGATCTAGTGTAATATTCCACACTTTTCTGTCATTCAGTAAATCAAAAATAACATTTCTATAAAAAAAAAATCCCTAATATACAGCAACTTATGTTTCAACTTATTCCTTCTAAGACGATGAAAATATTTCCAACTGAAACAAGTTGTGGAGTGACTGACCGAAACTGAGACCACTCGAGCTCCACTTCGGGTTTTCAATCTCTCGACCGGAGCGATACTGCAGCCAAGCAGAGAACATGCGGCGATAATAACAATAACCTTATTGTCTATAGTGCCTTTATAGGAGCTTCTCAAAGCACTTAAAGTATAATAAAATACAAGTAATGAACAAAATACGAAAAGAATAGGTGGATTAAAATAAACAAGAAACCAGCAATGGTTACCCACAATCAACAATAACCTAACTTTCCAAACAAAACCTAACAAAGAGTTTTTAAATGCTTCTTAAAAAGTAATTCGCTTTTCTGCAGCTAAAAAAAGAATAGCATGGGGTAAGAATAGCATATATATATATATATATATATATATATATATATATATGTAAAAAAAAAAGTTGTTTTGTACGTGATAAATGCTATAAAAATGATGTCATAAAAATCAAGCGTAGCATCAGTTCTGGCAGGTCACATTAGTCAAACTCTTAGCTGATCCTCATCTACACAGCAAAATCCCCAGTGTTAAAGGAGTAGTTAACTTAAAAAAACAAAAAAAAAACATTTGCTGACAATTTACTCACCCCCATGTCATCCAAGATGTCCATGTCTTTCTTTCCTCAGTCGAAAAGAAATTAAGGTTTTTGATGAAAACATTCCAGGATTTTCTCCATATAATGGACTTCAATGGGGTCCAAACGGTTCAAAGTCCAAAAGACAGTTTCAGTACAAACTGTTCAAAGGGCTTTAAACGATTCCAGACGATGAATAAGGGTCTTATCATGCAAAATGATCGCTCATTTAATAAATAAATAACAAAGTTTAAGTTTTATAAGCTCAAATGCTCGCCTTGCTCTGTTCTGTGATGCGCGTTCGTGACTCTCCTGTTCGAACTCGTTCATCAAAATGAACAAATCCTTTTTCGTTCATTTCATTTGTTGAATGTGAATAATAACAGTGCTAGGGAGGTATACAGTAAGTAATTACCAGTAACTTCAGCCAATATGCAAATACATGACATCATATCAAAAGAATACATTGTATAACAAGTCCATAAAAGGACAGTTTCCGGCAAGGTCTCCACATATGCATCTGCATCCAGAAAGCTCTCCGTAACCTCCCTCTCTGGCCATCAGAGGTGGGCGCCCTCGCCCGAATATTGACTCTTCCCAGTGCACACTACGTTTCCCAAGATCCTCCCAGGAACGTCTCAGTGTCCATCATTCAGTCTGGTCAGATCTGGGCAGGAGATTCAGTGACTCTGAAGTGCATCAGTGACTCAAACCCTCCTGCTGTGAACTTCAGCTGGTTTAAGGAGAATGAAAGCTCAGCTGTTGGATCTGGACAGAGTTTCAGTGCACTACAGAGTGGACGCTTCTACTGTCAGGCTCACAATCAACATGGATCTCAGAGATCAGACGCTGTAACTGTCACTGTTAAAGGTAGAGCAGCTCGTATACTTACATTGCTCTTTTTAAATGGCGATAAAAGGAACAATTTATCTTTATCTTTCCTCATGTCCCAGTGAAATATTGGAGGATATATCACATTGCAATCGTAGCATCAGTTTGTGGAGTTGTAGCTACTGGCATCATTGTGTTACTAACCTGGTAAGAGTCTGTTTTTCCTTTTTTTATTTAGTTATGTAATTTAATATTTATTGTGTTAATATAATGTGTTTTCTTTTCAAGCTGGAAGAAACTGCACTCCAAGGTCAGTCTGTTTCAATTCAATATTGGCTCAATGCAACTGATCGCAACTGAATTTCTCATTTTCTTTCTGTTTTTTTCCTCTCAGTCCACCACAAACAATTCTGATGGCATAAGCATGAAGTCTGAAAATAAAGAGATTTCATATGTGTATGAGAATGTGGGGGTACGTTTACTTAATTTTCTTTGAGCCTACGCTAATTCAAAACTAGTTTTGTTTTACCTTTTTCCTGGTTCACATGTTTTCTTCTATCTCTTTTCCATTAAGGCTGTTCATCCTTGCACCAACGCTCCTAAAATGACCTTCCCTCTGTATGAGAATGTAACAATTTATGAGAATTGTACCGTGAGTGTCCAGCTTTTCTCTTTGTCAGTCAATTGAGAAGTCTATTCTCTAGACTAGATATTGGTCTTGTGGTATTAAATATCCAGTTTTCTCTTGATACCACTGCAGACAGTCTTTAAGTGTGCCATAATCATTTCAAAATAGTTGAACTTGGTAAAAAGATCTAATTTTTGTTTTAATTTTTGTCTCAGGCTCACAGGAATATGCCGTAGTGGACGATGGCACACACCAAAACAGTCTTCATTTGACTGTGGGTGAAGCCCAAATGTGACAATGGATACAAGTAGAAGTTATCATGAAAATATATTGTTGCTTTATTCATTGTGACTTGTTTGATTATAATTGCTTATAGTTAATACTAATTATGTATTAATTAGCTTGCCTTTAACACACACAAATGCTTCATGTTGCAATTCATGATGTGAGCCACAAATCAAAACGCATCCATAAACATCTTAAGCCTAACTTGATTGTAGAACAATAGCAACAAATGGTCTGTACAATCAAATTATGCTTACAATCCTTTTGGGAAACGCAGCCCAGGTCATAGTTTGTCTTAAAGGGATACTCCACTTTTTTTGAAAATAGGCTAATTTTACAACTCCCCCAGAGTTAAATAGTTGGGGTTTTACCGTTTTCGAATCCATTCAGCCGATTTTCTAATATTTAGAAGAAAATCAGTAACCAGACAGTTTCTGGTCTCATTGACTACCATAGTAGGAAAAAATATATACTATGGAAGTCAATGGGACCAGAAACTGTTTGGTTACTGATATTCTTCTAAATATTAGAAAATCGGCTGAATGGATTCGAAAACGGTAAAACTCGACTGTTTAACTCTGGGGGAGTTGTAAAATGAGCCTATTTACAAAAAAAGTGGAGTATCCCTTTAATGAACACACGGTTGGAATGGCCAGATAAAAACTGATATTGAAAAGTAAAGGGTCAAAAGCCCAACTAAACCAAACACTGATCACCATAATGGTGACATAAAATGAAACATTCCATAAAACATCGCCATCTAAACTTCTTTAAATCTGCATAAGACCGTGTGTAGATGTATGACACAAATAAAGTCAATCTGGTAATAAGAAGTGCAATAATGTGTAATGACTCGAAATCAGTGTCTCTTTTTTTCTGTTCTTGTTTCTCTTTCCTTCATTGATTCTTCTTATTAACATCAGGTGTCACCACTAACGGCCAATCATCACTTAAATAATCACTTAATTATCTCATTAACTTTAACACTGCTTCAATGTTAATTTTTAACACCCTGTAGTTGGACCAAGTGTTCAGGCCAATTTATACTTCTGCGTAGGGTGCGCGCAGTAGGTACGGCGTAGCATACGCACAGACGCGTACCCTTCGCCGTAGCCTGACGCGCACCTCCTCAAAAATGTAACTACACGTCGCAATGACGCGGACCGCAAGATCTGTGATTGGTCAGCTTGGTAGCATCGCATTTCCGCACGTACCATCTCCTCCGACGTCTTCTCTCATTTCTGCCTTTTAGTTTTAGTAATTTCACTAAAATAAACTGTTTTTCCACCTTAATAAGCTCCGCTCTCTTTCAGTCGCCATTTCTTGTAGTACCCTAGCCGCGAGGAATCTAAACACAGTGGAACATTAAAACCCTCCACCGCCAACTAGCGTTTCGGAGCAGTACTGCAGAGCAACCAAGACCTGAACGCAGAAGTATAAATGCTCACGATGGCGTCGCCTACATTGTACACTACAGCATACCCTCGACGCAGAAGTATAAATTGGTCTTTAATTTAACACTGGGGATTTTGCTGTGTACATTGGCACTGACCCAGCAAGATCACCCACAGGTGCCTCTCCATCGCTGCCATCAAACTACCAACTGCGGCGGCGCTCTGCTTGGTGGTGCAGAGATCCAGATCTCTGATATCGCATCAAGGGGAAAGACCCTTACCCGGATCCAAATACTTCAGCAGATCGGCTTGGTAAGACTGAAGCACGGCCATGGAGTGAAGCACCAGCCTGACCTGCTGCCGCATATGGAGCTTTCAAGATCAAAAACGTCTCGTTGATTGGGATGTATCCAGTCTCCTGTATCCTCTAGACATGTACATAATCTGCATGTCTATGTTGGTGGACGTGGGCAGAATACGATTTCTTCCTTGTGCTCGTGATGGAGATCGAGAAGGAATGGAAGGTTCACTGGAGTTGGAGGGTTATGTCCGGAAAGGAACCGATTGTCCAATCTGCAATCTGTGGTCTCTTCCCTAGTGTTCTCAAGACCTCCTCCATCACCCCAACAGGTCCTCATAAGCGGGGCAGGAATGTCGCGAGAGCTCAAATGACTCGTCCTCTTCGGCCTCAACCAACATCTCCTGCTCTTCTTGGTATGTAAGCCAGAGGATGCACCGGATGCTGCATAGAGTGCGTGAGAGGGACTCGAGCCCCTGGGCACAGATGCTTGTCCAATTCAGTTACAAGCTGTCATGAGTTCTGATCACATCTATGAAACTTTTCAATCTGGTTTCAGGAAATTTCATAGCACAGAATATGCCCTTTTAAAAGTTTTTGACGACTTCTTATTGGCCACAGATTCTGGAAATGTTGTAGCTTTGATCTTACTAGATCTCGATTTGGCTGATCACAATGTGTTAATTTTTTCATTTAAACAATTGTGTTGGAGTTAGAGATACTTGTCTTTAATGGTTCCGGTCAGGGGTGTAAAGTAACGAATTACAAATACTCACGTTACTGTAATTAAGTAGGTTTTTTCAGAAATTGTACTTTTTTGAGTAAGTTTAAAATTGTGTAATTTTACTTTTACTTGAGTACATTTTAAGTGATGTATCGGTACTTTTTCTCCGCTATTTTCCTTCTGTTTGTGGCCGTTACTCGTTACATGCTTGTTTTAATTTGATTTTTATCCATCAACGTGATTGGATCGAGTAATCGGTCTCGTGACTGTCATCAATTCAAATTAAGCATAGAAAACTTACCGCCTATTCCTGCTGTTACTCGTGACTGCTGTGGAAGTGCATTCATCACGCATCGATTCAATCCAGATATCAGCGTCTTCTTCTAATATGCTAAGGTACATTTCACATTTCTGCTTAATATGATATTTATATAGGCTGGCCTGTCTACATGGCCTAACATTTGGTCTGAGGTTGGGGGAATTGCGAGACGAGTTCATAATGCGGTGAATTCCCGCTCCCATTTACTTCACAATCACATTATAGAGAGACGATCTGTGCACTGCCGCGTCTCACGCTCGCCATGCCGCCAGATTCAGAATCAGTGCACATGCCGTTAACTTGAACTGCATTACTTAATAAGAAATTAGCACAGCTCGTTAATAAACAGCGTTTTTTGATTGATCCATTATATGATCCGTCTTCATTTGGAAAGTGCACTTGCGCAAAAAAATTTTTCATGCTGAACTTTTTTTTTTTTTTTTGGATGCATGCTGCTGATAAAACAGACAAAGTGTGTTTGTTTCTTTTGTAGAAGTTTCCTGGATATAACTTCCCTATTTAATCCACGATTTTCCTTACAAATTATATTATCAGCATTACAAAGTGAGTTATAGCCGTGTAAAATGTAAGGGATGATGCCACCCTTCTAGAACAATGCATTTACGTTTAAATTGTAACGTATTTAATAGCATGGAATAAAAGTGTGTAATTAGTGTTAGCTCACTATCTTAGCCTTTTTCAGTGCATTAGTTGAGGTAATATGATAATATTAGTGATTCTCATTTATCAAAACACTAACATTGGTACCGTTTTGGAGAGAAATTGGGTATTTTTTTTATTTTATTTAACCCATCTCTTGGTGTGTAATGCTGAACTATCATATGAGTTTCTAAAGGTTTTTGAATTCTTTGCAGAGTTATGAATATTGATATTTTATGTGCAACAATAACATGCTCAGGCCCAGTGGCTTTTCGCCTAATTTTAAATGCTTTTTCCCCCAAATAATATGATTTAAATGGTGATGAGTGTACTGATTTGATGCATTTTAAAAAGATGGATGATAGATATTCTTCAATCTTTCTTACAAAGAACAAATGTGAATTCCAGTATGTGCATTTTTTTTTAATTTATAAATTGTAGTGCACAGTGTTTATTATAAGGGTTAGAATCCGCACCTCAGTACTCACTACTCACTACTCTTGAGTACTTTTAAATAAGCTACTTTTTTACTCTTACTCAAGTAGTTTTTTGGACAAGTACTTTTTACTCTACTCACACTACATTTTTTGGAATGTAATGGTACTTTTACTTGAGTATGTTTTTTCAGTACTCTTTCCACCACTGGTTCCGGTACTTTTAAACAAATTGGACAATTTCTATTCGCATTGGACAAAATACCTCCTCCACCGCTCCCCTGACTTGTGGTGTTCTTCGGGGCTCTATTCTTGCTCCTCTTTTATACTACCACTGGGGTTGAGTTTCCATTTTTTTTTCTGTTTTTGTGAGGGTCAAGAGCCCAACTAAAACAAATACTGATCTCCATAATGGTGACTTAAAATTCAGTTTTTCTCGTTAACATCAGATGTGTACAATAATGCTCAATTATCACTCAATTATTCACTTAATTATCTCATTAACTTTAACACTGCTTCAGTGTTCATTTAACACTCAGCTCAGAGTTTAATTGGGTCGCTCAAAATGACTTAATTCCATTGTTGAAGTAACATGAACAAGTTATGTTTGTTAAACGTAACCCAGTTATGTGGAACCTGTTTACATAAAAAAGTTAATTAAAGTCAACATATTTTTTTTGAGTGTGTGACGTCCCTCAGCGTCTCTCCATCGCTTATGAAGGTCACGTGATCACACTGTGATGCTGAAGTCTTACTTACTAATGAGGAAACTAACACTTTTTAGAGACGTGATGCTTTCAGGAAGCTTAGAATTTCTCGTGATAAAAACATTCAGATGAATAAATTCTGTTTATTTCATACTTCAGGTTGCTATTAAGAAATCAGTAAATTGGAGGTTTATCAAATGCACAGTTGACGTAACTGCTACTGCAGTACCTTCCAGTGTTTTACAAGCTAGGGTAGTTGGTCTGCATATGCAAATTAAGTGTTTCACGCAATTATTTTTTTCTGTTTCCTAAGAACAGGTTCCATAAGCAGCTGATTAAATATAGATATTCCCATGTTTGAAAACATGGTCTACCATAAGGTATCTCGTCTAATGTTGTCTGATAAAACTCTTCATCTGCTCGATCTGCACTAGTTGAGGTGTCATAAGCTCATATTATAATATAAGTTGTTAATCACGTGTCATTCAGAGTGTGAAAAACGCCTATACTTGTTTCATCCTGATCA